GATCCCTTTAATGTCTTTTTCTTGCCTTATTGCCCTGGCTAAGGGTTCTAGGACTATGTTGAAGAGGAGTGGAGACAGTGGACATCCTTGCCTTGTTCCTGTTTTTAGGAGAATTGGTTGTAGCTTTTCCCCATTAAGTATAATATTGGCTATTGGTCTGTCATAAATGGCTTTTATTGTTTTTAGAAATGTTCCTTCTATTCCTATTTTCTCCAGAGCTTTTAGCATGAATGAATGTTGAATTTTATCAAAGGCCTTTTCTGCATCTGTGGCGATAATCATGTGATTCTTGACCTTGGCTCTGTTGATATGCTGGATTACATTTATTGACTTACGTATGTTAAACCATCCCTGTGTCTCTGGGATGAAGCCTACCTGATCATAGTGTATTATTTTTTTTATGTGTTTCTGGATTCTGTTAGCTAGAATCTTGTTAAGGATCTTTGCATCTGTGTTCATCAAGGAGATTGGCCTGTAATTCTCCTTTTTGGTTGGGTCTTTGCCTGGTTTGGGGATGAGTGTGATATTGGCTTCGTAGAATGAGTTTGGGATAGCTCCCTCCTTCTCTGTTTCTCTGAAGAGCTTGAGGAGTATGGGTATTAGTTCTTCTTTAAAGGTCTTATAGAATTCTGCTGTGAATCCATCTGGTCCTGGGCTTTTTTTTGTTGGAAGACTTTTGATAGCTTCCTGTATCTCATTATAGGATATTGGCTTATTTAATTGGTTAACTTCTTCTTTGCTCAGTTTGGGTAACTTGTATTTCTCTAAAAATGCATCCATTTCCGCCAGATTTTCTTCCTTTAGAGAGTATAGCTTTTGAAAGTAGTCTGTTAGAATTGTTTGGATATCTTGGGTACGTGTTGTGATGTTTCCCGTGGCATCCCTAATCCTATTAATATGGGTTTCCTCTCTTCTTTTTTTAATTAATCTTGCCAACGGGCCATCAATTTTGTTTATTTTTTCAAAGAACCAGCTTTTTGTTTGGTTTATTTTGGTTATGGTTTTCTGATTTTCTAATTGGTTAATCTCTGCTCTCAATTTGGTTATCTGGCTTCGTCTAGTAGCTTTAGGTCCCATTTTTTCTTGTTTTTCTAGCTGTTTTAGTTGCAACATGAGATTATTCACTTGGTCTGTCTCCATTCTCTTGATGTGGGCACTGAGGGCAATAAATTTGCCCCTCAGGACTGCTTTTGCTGTGTCCCACAAGTTTCTTTGTGAGGTGTTTTCATTTTCATTGAGTTCTAGGAAATGCTTTATTTCTTCTCTGATCTCTTCTGTTACCCAGGCCTTGTTAAGGAGTGTGCTGTTCAATTTCCATGTATTAGAGAAATTTCTGCGGTATGCTTTGTTATTGAGAGCTAGCTTGATTCCACTGTGGTCAGATAGGATACAGGGGATTATGTCGATCCCTTTGTATTTGCTTAAGTTCCTTGAATGAACTATGATATGGTCTATTTTGGAGAAAGTTCCATGAGCTGCTGAGAAGAATGTGTACTGTGTTGTTTTAGGGTGAAATACTCGGTAGATGTCAGTTAATTCCGCTTGAAGTATGGCCTCACTTAATTCGGTAGCTTCTTTGCCAATCCTCTGGTTGGTAGACCTGTCCTTTGGTGAGAGTGGCGTGTTAAAGTCTCCTAGTATTATCGTATTGGGATCTATTTTATTCTGTAAGTTTGAGAGCATTTGTTTAACATATCTGGGTGCGCCGGTATTTGGGGCATATAAGTTGATGATGGTTATATCCTCCTCTTGGATTGTTCCCTTTATTAATATGTAATGTCCGTCCTTGTCTTTCTGTACTGATTTTAATGAAAAGTTTATTTTGTCAGATATCAGGATAGCTACACCTGCTTTCTTATTGGGGGAATTTGATTGGTAGATCCTTTTCCACCCCTTCACTCTGAGTTTGTTTGTATGTTTGGCTGAGAGGTGGGTCTCCTGAAGGCAACAGATGGATGGGTCTTGTTTTCTGATCCAGTCCTCAGTTCGTTTTCTTTTAATTGGCGAATTCAGCCCATTTATATTAAGAGAAAGTATAGAGAGATGCATTGTTGTCCCTGCCATTCCGTTTTCCTAAGTTTTTCTTCTTTCCTTTCCTCCTGTGCTTGCTCAGTTAGACTTTGAGTAATGCCTGTTTGGGGCAGGTCCCAGTTCCTGGTTGCTTTCTTCAGGTTGTGTCCCCCCTCTTAGAATTCTTTGTAATGCTGGCTTAATGTTTATGTATTCATTTAGTTTTTCTTTGCTATTAAAAGTTTTCAGTTCTCCATCGAATGTGAATGCTAGCTTTGCCGGGTATATCAGTCTGGGTTGGCAGTTATTGGCTCTCAGGGCTCGTATGGTGCTTTCCCAGGCTTTTCTTGCATTCATTGTTTGTGTGGAGAGATCTGCAGTGATTCTAATTTTTTTCCCGTTGTAGTATAGCTCCTTCTTCATTTTTGCTGCATGCAGGATTGTTTCCTTATTATTCAGATCCATCATTGTTACTATTATGTGCCTAGAAGTGTTTCTCCTGGGATCTTGCTTGTTGGGTGTTCGATAAGCTTTTGTGATGTAGTTAAGATGGTCGTTTTTGAGGTGGGGAAAATTTTCATTGACTATCTTGTTAAATAGGTGTTGCATTCCCTTGCTCTGGAATTCCTCACCTTCGTCCACTCCGATTATGCGAAGGTTAAATTTTTTAGCATTATCTGCTTGCTCTTGAATTTCCCTTTGGTTTAATTTGAGTGATTTTTCCATATCTGTCACTTTTTGGTCCAGTTGGTGTATTCTGTCTTCTGTATCTGACACTCTACCTTCCATTTCATTCACTCTGTTGACCGTGGCTTCTATTGTGGTTTGCATGGTGGAAATGGATCCCTTTATGGATTCAATGTTGGTTCTCAGAGTACTGATCTCACCTCTCAATGAGGTGATATCAGTATGCATTACCTCTAATTTGGCGTTTATCTCACTTCTTACTGAGGTTTGTGCAGCTTCTATTTTTGCATCCAATTTTTGTTTGATATCCTGTATATCTTTTGATAGTTCATCCTTGTGCTCTTTCAATTTCTGATCCATTTCTCGCTTTATTTCTTGAGTCATTGCCTCCAGCAACCCTTGGATGTAGTTTTTGTCTTCCATTCCTGCTTTGCTCCCACTGGGGCTCTCCCCTGCGTGGCTGCTGGCTTTTGAGGTGAGCTTGCTGTCCTGGGTAGTGGTAAACCTTGTGATTTTTCTCTGTGATTTTCGCATGGGGGTTCAGGAGACTGCTCTTCAATCTTGTTTTGGTGTGTCTGTCTTTGCTTGGTTGCTGATTCTCTATTGGTAGAGAGAGTCTGTGTCTGATCTGGATTCTGTTGGGAGCCTATTTCCAGCTGCTATTCACTTAGGATTCTCAGCTCTCTGCTGTAGCAATTCCCGCCTTTGGAAGGGTTGAGCAGCCTAGACTGCTTGTGTTTGCTCCTGCGGGTGCTCTTGGGAAGATCAGATGCTCTGGATGCACTCTCCCAAATACTGGAGTCTGCTATGGGCTCCTGATGTGTTTTTGTTTGTTTGTTTTGGGCTGGTTGTGGGCTTGAACTCTAGGTTTGGGTGCTGTCCCTCAGCTCTTCAGCTCAGGGCTGGCACCCTACCATTTGAGCCACAGCCCCACTTCTGACCCTTTTTGCTTTGTTCAGGCGCCGGTCCCCTGGCCTGGTTCCGGCCCCAGCCTGGAGCGCGCTCGTTAGGCCTGTGCTAATGTGTATACCACCTTGGTTATGCAGCCTGGAGGACACAGTTCAAATTTCTTCTACTGTTGGTAGTCTTGACCCAGGGGCACTGTTCCTGGCTTGAGCATTTAAGCTCCCTTCCCGGGGCGCTCTTGCTCTGGCCTGGCCAGCAGAGTGTGCTCCACCGGCTGGTGGGGCTCTCGAACAGTTCCCAGTTTTAGTGGGTCCTGTGGTCCGGGTGTTGGGGTAGGGAGTCTAGGTCAGGGTCTGGGGATTCCCTCCAGCTCTGGTCTCCCTTGATGGATTCCCTGTCCCCTGATGGGTACTCACCCTGTAGGTCGTCAGTTGTTGTTGCAGTCCGAGTTCAGTTGGGGTGGTTGCGGGCTGGGTTGGGCGGCCCCCCGCCGGGTCGTTGCGATCGCGATTGGGCGGGTGGTCTGCGGACAGGTCCCTTTGTGGCGCTGCTGGTGCCGGGCGGCTTTGGCGGGATGGAGCCTCTCCGCTCCGGTGGAGAGTGATGGGTGGGGTGGGATCCTCCTGGAGACTCCCGGCTGGTAGGTTTCTCTGTTCCTGGCGATCCGCTGTTCTGCAATCCGGTACCTGGTGATCTGCAAGCAGCCCCCTGTGTCTCTGTGGCTCCGGCAGCCAAGTTTCTTAAACTTAAAGCTGCCTTTAACAGCCTCCCAAGCTGAAAGTGGTATCTTAACTTTTGCCACCCACAAAGAAGTAACAGCATGAGTTAGTTTATAATAGTAAACAAAAAATAAAAGCCAACAACCTAAATAAGGAATTGATCAAATAGCATAGGCCATTTATCTAGCAGAGTATTATGGTGTCATTAAACCTGATCATATCTATGTATGCTTATTGATGCATGCAAACATTTTCTATAAAAAGTTATATAAAAATTATACATTCTGAAAAATCATTTATACATTCTGAATATATATAAATACATATATATGTATACCTATATACAAATTAAATGTATATATACACATTTATACACAGATATACATATATGTATATATAAACATTTACACATATAAACATATATCTATGTAACTGACTTTGTATTCTGATGTCTTTTGTGGAAAAAAGCATAAAGAGTCATACATTGAAGTGTGAAAAGTATTATGTTTGGACAACAACATATGTTGGATAATTTCTTTCTTTCTTTTTTGTTCTATTTGCTTATCTTTTCCAGTTAGTCTATAAATTTGTTGGGGCAGCTAAGGGATGATCCTGGGTCTGTGGTCTGTGAGATGTCCCCAAACCAGGCCTAGCTTACAAAAACAACTTGATAGTCACTTATCCAGCAGGTTCTCCCTGGGTATCTGAACCTTGTCAAATACTAAAATCCCATTATCCACACCATTCAGACCTGGAGAAACAAGAAATGAAATGCAGCTTCCGGGGAAAAACTGTGATAGAAGTTTTTGTATATGATGTGAGGTAGGGATTCAAAATATTTTCCCTATTATTTTTGTATATGATGTGAGATAGGGATTCAAAATATTTTCCCTGTTACTTCCCAAGCCTATCTTGTCTAGAATACAAACCTCCCTTTTTTTCAGTTCCATAGTTCTTGATGCTCTTTTATTTGGCCTGAAGAGTGAGGATTGTTTTTTTTCCCTGGGTCCTGTTTCTTGGGCCTACCTAGCCCACTTTTCCTCAATGAGGATGGAAGACAATGTGACTTCATTCTAGCAGCCCAAGTGTTCTGGTACTCAAGTTCAAGGCTTGGTGGGGACACATCTACCTCCCTATTAGCAATCATGATTTCAAAATGACGAGTTCCAGGTAACAGAAACAATGAAAAGCTGAAGACAGAGAGAGCAAGAAAGCCAACTTACTCTCCCCAGGAACACAGATCTCAAATTTCTCTCCTTTCCCTGCTTCCTCCTTAAGTCTAGGATGAACTAGTGAAAGCCAAAGCCAAAGGCACAAACAAGGGCAAGGGACCACAAGGACACAGGAGAGGGAAGGGGGACAAAAGTCTTCCTGACCCTAATGACACCTGTTAAAGAGTCTTGTGACTACTTATTGTTCATAGAAACTTAAGGAGATTTAATCTGGTAAAAAAATGTTTCTTTCATAAAAGTCTTTATTTAGCACATCAGCCCTTGACAAGGACACACTCAGAGCTGAGAAGGAAACCAAAACAGACTCACTGCACTTGCCAGTATTTTCTATTTCTGGCATGAATTTAGAAGAGCGAGGCTGCCTCTCTGGTCTCAATAACTATTGACACGTGAGATGATTTCAAGGTGCCAGAGCCAGCTAGGGCCTCTGTCACCCCCAGAAGATGTATTTAAAACTCCCAAAATCCACCTGCTGCCAGCCTGCCACTGCAGCCATAGTTGGTTAACATTAGTGGAAGATGAGACAATCCTCTCCACCAAAGAGATCTTCTTCCCTCTTTCCTTCCCAACTCCTCTCTGTTTTTTGTTCCCTCTTACTCCTAGATTTCTTTCTTTGACTTGGCTTGACCTTAACCAAAGACAGCCATAAGCCTAGCCTGGTCTTATTAATGTTATGGGTTGAATTTATCCCCAGTTCATATGCTGGAGTCCTAAACTCTACATCTGTAAATGTGACCTTATTTAGAGACAGAGCCTTGGCAGAGATAATCAAGGTAGAATGAGGTCATTAAAGTAGGCCCTAATGTAAGTGTTGGTGTCCTTGTAAGGTGGGTAAACATGGCAACATGTAGATACAAGGAGAATGCTATGTACACATGCAGATGTTATTTATAAGTCAGGGAGAAGTTTTCTTGCCCACCCTTGGAAAGAACCAACTTTGCTGACACCTTGATCTGGGGACTTTTCAACTGTGAAGCAACAGGTTGCTGCTACACAAGCCCCCATTAGTGGAACACAGACGTAGCAGACTAGTGTACCAAGTAAATCCTGAAGGAACATTCATGGCTTCCACATTAATGAGAAAGGAGAATGTGGAGAGCCATGCCTGACCTCTGAGAGCCCACAACTCTAAGCAGTATTCAGAATGAACTGCCTCATTCCTAAAAAATTCAAGAAGCTGGAGAAAATGAGATCAATGTATAGTCTCAACTGGTAATTTGGACTATATTTTTGAGGTGACTTCTATCCCTTTAAACTGCGGTGGAGAACAGACAGGAGGCACATGAGCACAGGAGAGGGGTAACTTGGGACTTACCTTCTTTGTGCATCATAGCAATAGCTGTCACTCCTGGGTACAAGCTTCCATTTTCATCCCAAATAGGAACAATAAAACAGTGGGCCCCTACGTAAGAAATAGAGATCCTTATTAACTCTCCCTTCTAATAATAATAATAAGCCTTACTCAATTCTTGGAACAGAATAAAATTAATTTGCCCCCAAACTCAGATTCACTCAGTGCTGTTTGTGAACTGCATGTGATGGCAAATAATGTCAAAATGCATGATAAATTTTATCATCCTTCAATGTAGGAGATAAAGTTAGGACTCAATTTTTGACAAGATATAAAACAGCCTCACCAAGCAGAATTTGGTGTTGTGTTCACTGGAAACTGTGGGTACTGGATACAGTAACAGAGAAGAGAATTTTTTAGTCTGTGTAGATGACAAACCTTGAGATCTTCCCGTTATAAGGAGCTGGGCAAAGACAGCTGCATAATTCCCACTCATGGCATTTCTAATGTACATCTTCTGGGCATTTTCACATGGTGTGTCCATGACAAACTCCTACAGAGAAACAGTAAAGACACAGAGCGTTTCCTCCATATGGCTCATTTCAACTCCTTGGCTCAATTCAACAAACACTGTGAAAATACATCTACATTATGCTGGAGATTTCAGAGACAACAGAAAACCCAGCTAGCTCAACCTTGTACTATTCTATTGCTTCAGTACACACACTCACCACATGGGTTACCCTTAAACCTCATGCAAGGAGGGACCAGCTATGTTGCCAGTTCTGAGTACAGAGTACCTGCAACACATCAGGGAACCCAGGGGAAGTGGCAGAAAGCCGAGCTGCACACTTAATTGGAGTTGACAATATTGAAGATGTGGCTGAACTAAACTAACAAGCTATTGATCATGAAAAGATTATCTCAGATTTCATATTATAAAGTATATAGACTGTGCTTTCCTTTGGGCCAAGAAATACAGTCTTGAGGTCTAAGAAAACATTCTCTGGCATCTGTTTGTAGAGAGAAACTTTTCACATGTGCCAGGGCTTTTCAGAATCTTGCAGGGGCAAGCCGAGTCTTTTAAAGAGAAGTCTCTAGAGGCAGCCCTTGTCTTATCGAGCCAGCCAGGACTTCTCAAAGAGAGGAGGTACTTTGAGGATGGAGGCCATGTTCACCCTGTAGGGGAGGAAAGGAAGGAGCCAAGGAAACACTGGCCTGGCAGAGGAGCTCTAGTGAGACAGGGAAGAGGGCAAGAGGCCACTGGGCCCTATATATATCTGATACACCCTGGGTAGAAGGCTTGTCACTTCTGGCAAGAGGTTCAGTGTGGAAAATTTGCATCAGCCAAAATGCTAGAGTTAAAACTAAACCTAAATAACACATACCATGTGTGCTGGTTGCTATTATAATTATTTATCAAAGGCCAGCAAAATAGTAATGCAAGCACTGAAAAGGAGAGGCATGGAGGCTTTGGTTAGAGAGCTTATAACCTTTATTTGTTTTTTGCTAGTTAGTATGGAGTATAAAAATAAAGCTATATTACTTCTTTACTACCCATCCCACTAGCCATCTGATTCCCTACAAATAATAACAAAAGAATCAACCCACCAGAGTGTAAACTTGTTCAACCACTTTGGAAAGCAGTATGGAGGTTCCTCAAAAGACTCCACATAGAGTTCCCCTATGACCCAGCAATCGCACTTTTGAGCATTTACCCAAATGCTTACAAACAAGACCACACTACCAGCGTGACTATGTTTATTGCAGCATTATTTACTATAGCTAAGATATGGAACCAACCTAGATGCCCCTCAGTAGATGAATGGATCAAGAAAATGTGGTATATATACACAATAGAATTCTATGCCTCCATCAGAAAGAATGACATTGCCCCATTTGTTAGGAAATGGAAAGGCTTGGAAAAAATTATATTAAGTGAAGTAAGCCAGGCCCAAAGAAACATAGGTCCCATGGTTTCCCTTATTTGCAATAACTAGTATATGTCTGAGTCAAGCAGAAAAGGTCAGATAAGGTGCTGTTAGGGAAATGAAGCCTAAGAGATGTATTCAAATGTTTTTTTTCTGTCATGCAATTGTTTCTAACACATTTATAAGATTATTTCTTTGATTATTTATAAGATTATATATAAGATTATTTATAAGATTGTTGCTTTGTATGTCCCTCCCCCAGTATAACCCCTGCTTTCACGTATTTGATGTTGGCATAATTTATGGAGGGGAAGGGGAAAAACAAATCATTTAAATAGGGATACAGGTGGACCCATTGCAACAATGAGATGTACAAGTTGTTATGTCGAAAACGAACTTTACAACTTTGGTGTGGGGGGTGGGGGGGAGGGGGAGAGGGGCGGGGAGGATTGGGCGGGGAGGATGGGAAGGGATAGGAAGGGGAAACAAAGGAGGAGGCTACAATGCTTGATAAGAAATGTACTCATCTTGCCCATGTAATTGTAACCCCTCTGTACAGTATTTTCACAATAAAAAAAAAAGAATCAATCCACCAGAATGAATAACCAACAACCAACACACACACACACACACACACACACACACACACACACACACACACACACACACACACACACACACACGGAGAGAGAAGAAAATTTCATACTCCTGGAGGGAGGGATCATTTACATGCTTGAATTTTTTCAAAGGGAAATAAGAGAGGGAACAAGAACCAAATGAAGGGAAAAGATCCATTCCCTGCAGTGTCAGTTCTCGGCAGGATGAGTCTGTGATGTTTGTCCTCTTCCCACCCCCACAGGAGATACAGTGCCCCTCAGAGTCTCCTCATCATTATAACTGCAACTCTGTGACTCCCCTGGTCAGAAAGTGGCAGCTGCAAAAGCCCACCAGGTAGTTAAATCATTTATGCTGTTCAGGGACAATGAGACCAAGACAGTAAATTGTTTTGTGGGAAAAAAAATAATTGTAAGAAAAAACAAATAAATAAGAATTGTGTGTGGTTTATCTCTCATCAGTACTAATGACCTCAATACCACAGCTTGGGAGAAGAAAAAAATGGCCAGCCAAAACCCCCAAATTTGTTATGTAAGCAAGACATCACTGTCAAGCCACATCTGTACTCTCTGCATGCCTGCACATTCACTGTTAAGGGTAGTTCCACATGTGACTCAGACTAACCTAGGAACTGTGTAACTATAGCCAGTTTCTTAACCACTGTGAAACTCAGTTCCCCCTTTTGTTAAAAAGGGACAATATTTTTCTATATAATTATAGAACATGTAACAGAATGTTAAATGTAGAGTGCTTAGCTTAGTGCTTAGCACATTGGTGCTCAATTAACAGAGACCACATAATGTCAAGTTGGTGGTGGGAATACAGAACACCATACAGCAGGCCAACCATGGCTTATGGTGAATGTTCAGATACAGCAGTGTTTATTGTTTTCTTATTATGATCTTGTATGCCATTGGCCATTATAGAGAATTAACACCAAAGTGGAGAAAAGCAGGATATCCTCTCAGACAACCATCACCTGGCTCTGTCATTCTCAGTATCAAACACCTCCAATGGATATCCATGAGGCAAAAAGCCCTGCTGACAAAATCTAGATTCTAGTGTAATAGATACCAAAGGATAAGCTCAGAGGAAATGAAGAATAAACTGAGAACCCAAAGCCCAATGTGATTGCCCAAATCTGTACACTGTGCATGCCTACACATACAAATTTACAAAGACTCACTTCAGAAAGAACAATTTTTACTTACCCATAACAAATAAGAAACTATAAAGGAGAGGAGAGAAGGAAAGATGGTGGAAGGCCAATAGGGAGTCTACATAGCTTTCTGAAAACCCAGAGCTTTAAAATCCTACTGAATAGTCCATGCCTAGAGAGTCACACCAAGTGAGCTGTCATTGTACAGAGATTTTGGACAGAGAGGAAAGTTATAGGCAGCCTGCTTAAGAAGACAGATTTGAACACACACTAGCCATGGTGACCAGGATCACGGCAGTGGCCAGATAGAGCTGGGACAAAGGCACCAGTCAGAGTGCGCACAACTTTTCATTCACCTGCAGCATGAACTGGATGACTAGAAGCAGAAAACCACATCCTGCTGGCAATAGACGGACACAGATTGAAGATGGTCCAAAAGACCAAGGGAAAGTGTGAGTACCCCCACAAAAGACACCCTCACTCAGACAACAGCTTTTGGAAAGAAGCCCTCCTCACACCCAGGAAGAATGGTACCTTTGAGACTGACATAGAGCTGGCCGAGCAGTTAGCAGTTAACATGGGCCTGCGAGGCAGTGACTGCAGCACCATTTTTCAACAGGGCAAAGGAATCTGACCAGTGAGACAGTTCCACCCAGGGGAAGGTAGCCTTATCAAGGAGGAGGAAGCTCCTCCCAAGGAAGGGGAGCTTTATCCACAGCAGGCACAGTGAGAGGCGACCTACCCTTCTGCAGCAAACAAGGGCATTCTAGTCATATAGCAGCTCAACTTGCAGCTTAGACAGCTACAGGAATTAAAAACCAAAAGTTTGTGAAATCTCACTGAAAAACAGAACAGAGCAAAACAAAAAAAAAAACAGGATAAGCCATAAAAGCCAAGAGTGGCTCCAGGCTAGACCAAAAGAGAGTCTCAGAACTAGCCCCTCTGGGAAAAGCCACTGATTCGACACACCACAGTCCTACCCACACTCAAGCTCACTTGCATACACTTCAATCTAAAGAAACCAGCTACATCCTTTCTGCTTTACCACACAAACAAAACCCCCTTTCCCATTAAGTTAGGCGGGATGAGGGGCACAAAGATTCCCAAGTTTGTAAGGCAGAACTTTTTTCTGCCATCTAAATCTCAAGAAAAACTGACCACCACAGGAAATCAAAGGCTCCATCAAGAAACTAGTTGTGGGCATTGGGGAGACACAAAGTCCCCCAAATAAATTGAAGATTTAATTTTTTTTTCTATTTGTGTTTTTCTATTTTTAAAACTAATTAATTTTTTTTTCTTCTTCACTGATGTTTTTTATTCCTAGATATACAGCCTACAGTGATTACTAGGTTTCCTCCTTGTGTACATCTTAATTCAGGCAATGTTTTGATTACTCAATTTTCTATTTCTCAATCTTAGTATTTTTAATTTTTTATACATATATTTCTTAATTTTTTTTCTCTGAATTTAGATCTTAGCTTAATTCCTTATGGTCCTTTCCTTTTCTATATTCTATTCTTATTTTTCTCCTCCTTGTATTTTTCATTGTATCTCTTAATCTTTCTTTTAATTTCATTTTAACCAATTTTCCTTTATTTCTGGCCCTTAACTCTCTCTTCATTTTCTTTAGTCCATTGATTACTAGTTGTTTGTCTTCAACTAGACTGTGTCTGCATCTATTTTGATTGTTTCAACCTGGTTATTCTTTCGGTTCAGATTGCTTTAAAGCTCATGACAGATTTGTTCACTGATCACAGCTATATACAATTCCCACTTATGAATCACAATAACCCTCCCCTTAAAAAGAAAAGTAGACGTAGATAGGGAAATACCTATCTATCATTTTAACCTCTAAAGTTGGTTCAATTACAAGGCTCTGAGTTGGTTTGTTTATTTTTTATTTTTTTGATGGTCATGGGGCCTGAACTCTGGTCCTGGGTGCTGCCCCTCAGCTCTTCAGCTCAAGGTTAACACTCTACCACTTGAGCCACAGGGCCATTCCAGCTTTTTCTGGCTTATGTGGTGCTGAGGAATCAAACCAAGGGCCTCATGCATGCAAGGCAAGCACTCTACCATGAGCCACCTGCTCAGACCCTGGTTTTTATTTTAAAATTGTGTTCTCCTGTGGTCTTGGATCAGCTTTTGTCTCCATAAAGGAGAGGTGGAGAGAAAATACCTATCTATGATTGTGAACCTCTAAAGTCTGTTCAACTACAGGGATCTGAGTTGGTTCTTATCTGAAAATTGTGTTCTGTTATGGTATTAGATTTGCTTTCATTTCCAAATGGTCAGAACAACCCATAGAAACACAAGAAAAATGGCAAGTCAAGGAACCTCAAAATAAACAGGCAACAGAGCAGTCAATGGAAAATCTGCAAGATAATACTCAAAATGCTCTACAAACACTACTGGTAAACATACTGAATGAAAAGATTAGAGCCTGTGCATGGTTATGTGTGAGCATGATGGGGCTAACCAAAGATTAATAGAGAAATTACTGGAATCCACAAACAGGAAGCTGAATGAATTCCAACAGAAAGAAAGTGAATCCAATGAAAATATAGCCACTCAGCTAAAGGATTTGAGAGAGAACACTGAAAATCAAACAAAGGAGGTAAAGAAGTCCATACAAGATCTTAAACAAAGCTTCAACAAAGAAATTAAAGCCAGAAGTGGCGCTGTAGCTCAAATGGTAGAGCGCTCGCCTTGAGCTGAAGAGCTGAGGGACAGTGCCCAGGCCCAGGGTTCAAGCCCCACGACCGACAAAAAAAAAAAAAAAAAAAAAAAGAAATTAAAGCCATCAAAAATGACCAATTAGAAGGCAGGGAAATAAAGACAAAGTAGAAAGTCTTGACAGCAGATTGGATGATGCAGAAAGGCAAATCTCTGGAACTGAAGATAGTCTAGACTTTACAGAGAAAGAACAAATATTCAAAACAAATCCAAGAATTAAGATATATCACTAAAAGAGTTGTACGACACAATGAGAAGGACTAAGTTAAGGTGAATAGATATTGAAGAAAGACTAGAGATGAAAGCTAAAGGGATAGGAAATATATTGAACAGAATCATAGCAGAGAAGTTCTCAAACATCCAAAAGGATAGCCCTATTCAAATACAAGAAGCCTTTAAAACTCCAAACAGACCAGATAAGAACAGGACATCCCACTAGGACATTGTAATCATTACAGGATCAACAGAGACCAAGGAAAGGATCCTTAAAGCTGTAGGAGAAAAAAATCACCTACAAAGGAATACTAATCAGAATAACTACAGATTTCTCATCAGAGACCATGAAAGTAAGAAGAGCCTGGAATGAAGCCTGCTATGCCCTAAAGACAAACAACACTCAACCAAGAATAGTTTACACAGCTAAACTCTCCTTCATAACTAAGGGACAAATAAATACCTTCCACAGCAAAGAAAAATTGAAACACTATATCTCCACCAAACCAGGATTACAAAAGATACTTAAAGATATCCAACAAGAACATGATATAGGCAGAGAAACGTCCCCCAAACAGAGAATCAGATAATCTTATTAAGAATTGACGAGGCACAGCCCCTAAGAAGGTAGATAACATGGCAGGAACTACCAAACACCTCTCAATCCTAACTCTATTAATGGACTTAACTCTCCAATTAAACCATATTGATTGACTAGTTTGATCAAAAAGCAAGATCCATCTATCTTCTGTCCTCAAGAGACATACCTTGCCCACAAAAACAAACATTCTGAAAGGAAAAACCTAGCAAGTAAATGGCCCCATAAGCAGGCTAGAGTTGCAATCCTAATTTCAGATAAAATAGACCTCAAATTAAAATTAGTGAGAAGAGATAAAGAGGGACATTACAAACTAATAAAGGGATCTCTCCAACAGAAGGATATAACAATTCTAAATATCTATATGCTAACTACCAGAGAACTCAAATTCATCAAGCAAATACTACTTACCTTAAAATCACACATAGATCCAAGCACATTGATTTTTGGTGACTTTAACAAACCTCCAACACCTCTCGATAGATCATCCAGAAAAAAGTCAATAGAGAAACCTGAGACAATTGCACAGACCAACTATACTTAACAGACAGCTACAGAATATTCACTCACCAGAATCAGAATATATGTTCTTCTCAGCAGCACATGGAACATTCTCAAAAATAGATCATATTTTAGATCACAATGCAAATGTGTGCAAATTCAGAAATATTGAAACTACTCCCTGCATTCTCAGACCACAATGGAATAAAATTAGAGCTCAACACCAAAAGCCACCATAGAAAATTCTGTAACTTATGGAGACTAAACAACAATTAAAAAAAAATTTTAATGAATGAGGAAAGCTTCTAGACAGAATTGGGTAAGAAATTACATAAGAGAGTTTTCTCCTTACAGGTTGGGTCCAATTGTGGACAGAGGGATCAATCTAGACTTTTTGTTTTTTGGTTTGTTTGTTTAAAGTACAGGGGATTGAACCTGGTGGCTCTACCCTTGACCCACACTTTCAACACAATATGGAGGGGATGGGAAGGTGACTCAGTGGTAGAGTGCTTGCCTTGCATGCTTGAGGCCCTGGGTTTGATTCCTCAGCACCACATAAGCAGAAAAGTCAGAAGTGACACTGTGGCTCAAGTGGTAGAGCACTGGCCTTGAGCTGAAGAGCTGAGGGACAGCACCCAGGCCCAGAGTTCAGGTCCCACAACTGACAAAAAAGTAAAGGAAAATCCTGACCAAAATGTTTATTTAATTAATAAGAAATGGAAATGAATAATAACAGGAAAAAAATAAAATAATGAAAGAAAGAAGTGAGAAGAAAAATATCACAATTCCTCACATAGTAAAAGTAAAAAAGTATGGCTGGTAAAACCTTTGAGTTGTCATGTAGAGTGTTAGTGCAAGTCACAGTTAGAACACTGCATAATACAGTTGACCTTCCGTGTCCTCAGCTTCAAACAACATCAGATTTAAACTATTTTTAATTGAGTTTATACTAAACATATGCAGACACTTTTTCTTGTCATTGTTCCCTAAAGAATAGTTTATCCAAAATGCTTAAATAGGGATACAGGTTGACCCGTTGTAACAATGAGATGTACTTTACAACTACAGATGAGGGGAGTTGGAGAGGTAGGGAGGGAAGGAATAGTAGGGGAAAAACAAAGAAGGGGGTAACAATGCTTGGTAGGAAAAGTACTCATTACCTCTGTATAGTATCTTTACAATAAAAAATATATCTTAAAATATATTAAAAATTTTTTAAAAGAATATAGTTTATCAAGAGGCTGAATCTGAGAATCACAGTTCAAGCCAGCCTAGGCAGGAAACTCCATGAGACTCTTATCTCCAATTAACCACCAAAAACCAGAAGTAGATCTGTGGCTCAAGTGGTAGAGTACTAGTCTTGAGTAAAAAACCTCAGGGGCAATGTCCATGACCTGATTTCAAGCCCCAGGAATAACACACACATACAAAAAGAAAATAGTTTAACAAGTGCTTAAATGGCATTTGCATTGTATGAGGGATATAAGTAATACAGATATGATCTAAAGTATACAAGAGGGTGTGCAAAGAAAGGCTCTTTGCAAGTATCACATCATCTTCTATAAAGGACTAAAGCTTCCATGCATTTTGGTGTGCATATGGGTTTCTGAAACCTGTCCTCCATCTATACTGAAGGACAACTCTGCCAACAGGGAGGAATTGGCTACTGATAAAGGAGCCCCAGCTCTGGGAGTGTTGCCATAGCAATGGAGAGTACCAACAAAGACACCTCCTCCAATCATTCATCTGCTACTGTTAGGAAGAACAACAACATGGCACTAGTGCTGCTAGTGAAGACTAAACTAGCATTAATGGTGTTACACAGGAAAGCTGAGCTTATGTCTACCTCTATTAAAATGTTTAGATGCATGTTCTTAATCTGAGCTCCTCAGCAAGAGAGCACAAGGATACAAAGCTGGGCTCAGAAAGAATGACAGAATGCTTTGTCCAGGCCTCTACTGCCCTGAACCATGAAAAAAGGATCAGACTCCTCACCTGTGCAGCAAGGTCAAAGGTAGCTTCAGTCTGAATCCTTTTCACGTTGCTCCCATGGCCCCTCTCAGTCATTGCAAACATCCCAGTGTATTTTTGTTCCTGGATTCATCAGACAACAAAAGAGAATTAGCTGGTCAGATGGTTTCTAACTATGGCCCTCTGGGATCATTAGGGAAGATCATGATGGTGAGAAATGAAGGGGTGAATTGTCTCATGACAGACTCAACACAAATTTAAAAATAGATAGTTTTGAAGTTTTCATTCAGAACATCTTTTCTAACCCAAATTATGTCTTATTTCCCTTCTCCTCAAACAAAGTCACATTTAACGACAATGTATTTTTAAGGCTCTCCATTGAAGAAACTACCTATTTCAGAACATCTTTTCTAACCCAAATTATGTCTTATTTCCCTTCTCCTCAAACAAAGTCACATTTAATGACAATGTATTTTTAAGGCTCTCCATTGAAGAAATTACCTATTAAGATATATCTCATACCTGGAGTACTGGCAACCACTTAGTAACATGTCCTGGACTTCCAGGATTCAGGATTTTACCACCAAATAGCCAATATAGTACTCCACATTAGAAATAAGGATGAGACAAACCATTATTAGCAATAACCAACAGCTTAATCATAATTAAAGCTACCAGCCAAACTCCTTTCCAGAAACAGCTGTTCAGCTCCTTGAACTTTACAAAAGTCCTGCAAATGACAAGTGTCTATGCCTTTCCCAGTCACTGCCTGACAAGCTCCAATTGCTCTCTGAAGACACAGCTCAAGGATCCCACTGTAAGAGAGGCTAACCCTAACTCCCCAGAGCCTATATCTTCAGGACTGACCAATTCACACCATCAAATGGCTGCACTAAACTTGTCTTCTCAGGTCCTAGCTTGGTTCCTTACATGTAAAAGTCATAAATCTACATGCTGGGGACAATCAATGATGGACACTGACCACCATCTGCACAGGTGAATCTTGCCATGAACGTTAATCAGCAACAAGGAAGGATGATGGTAAATAGCAAAGCTGCAAATTGAGCAGGTGAATAGCCTAGACTTCAGTCCCAGTTACTTACTCACTGGCTGGAGGTCCTGGACAAATAACAGAGCCTCAGTTTCCTCATCTATCAAATGGAGTAAATGCTGATTGTGCCTATTTACAGTTATACACACACACACACACACACACACACACACACACACACACTCAATGATTCTCACAACAACTCTGTGAGGAAAACATTGTCACACCCACTTGACAGATGAGGATGGTGAGGTTCCCAGATGGAAGCTACTTGCCCAAGGTCACTCCCTGACCTGAGAAAGAGGAAAGGACTGAGGTTCCAAGTCAAGCTTGGAAAAGTGTTGTTGATGAGGAAGAAAGGAGGAGGGGGAGGGAGAGGACCCAGGAGGAAGGATGAGCATCTAGAACAGGATCACTTGGAAAGAGAAAAGCTACTAATTTCAAGGACAGAAGGACACAAGTGCACGGACATTTGTTGGCCTGAAGGTCATCATTACTTCCCCTTTTAGCCACATAACTCCAATTTTCCCCTGGGGAACTCTCTTTCCCTAGAGTGGGTCCAAGTATTTTGTGAGTGATGTGGACCCTGTCTCAGACTTTAGAATGAATGGTGACCCAGGCTGACTGTGCTGGATCACCATCCTGCCTCAGGATGGCTTCAAGAATGGACCATGATCTGGATGGTTCCATTCTAACTGGCTGCAAGGATATGTGATAAAGAGGAGCTGCTGCTTTGGTGTAATAGAATCTGGAGGGACTAAGGCCTGGGGCTGCTGACAGTCCAGAGAAGAGAGAAGTCAAGCCCCACACCTGAAGCCCACTGTACCCTTGCACTCTTCAATGATAAGAATAAATTTCCACCAAACAAGTTTAGATCAGATATTTTTTCTGGGGCCACTGGCAATTGAGTGAGTCTCCTGCTCCCCATGTGAGAGGTCAGGCTGTCATCAACTTCATGAATGGTGCTCTATCAGCTCCAATCATATTACACTCTGATACTGGAAGTTATAGGTGATTAGAAGAATTCCTCATCATCCTAAACAAAACTCTGTGCCTAACAACAACAGCTCCCCATGCACCCTTCCCCCAGCCTCTGACATCCTCTAATATTCCTTGTGTCTCTGAATCTGTGTATTTTATATGCTTTGAGTGGGTTCAAGCAGTATTTATCCTTTCATGTCTGGCTTACTTTATTTAACACAACATTCTGAAGGTTTATCAATATTGTAGCATGTATTAGGGTTTCATTCTTTTAGTGGCTGAATAATAGTACATTATGTGTATACACTGTACCTATATGCAAATGGGCACAGAGTATGTTATGATAGAAAATGAAAGCAGATGACACATACAAAAGCAGATGGCAATGAGTAAATGGGATTCAAATCACAAGCTTGAGAGGGGCTTGCTGAAGAAGGAACACTTCAGCTGGAACCTGAATAAGTGCAGGTGTCAGCCAGGTGAAAGAGGAAAAAGATCAAAATCCAAAAATGGGCCTTGGAAACAAAAAGAGGTGGAGCTCACCTGAGGAACGAGTTTGGAACAAAGTGTATCTGGAGAGGTAAAACAGACACGTATAATGATTTCAGTCTTGTCTAGCTTCTGGCCCATTTTGCTTCATCTCCCCCATCACCATTCATTTTCCTTTCCTATGCCCTGAGTTTTCAAGAAAATCTCAGGTTATCTTGAAATTTACTCCAGATACTGTGTCACTTTATCACTACATATTTCCTACATATCTGTAAAAGACAAAAGGTATGAAATATAATCTTAAAACCATTATCCTACCTAAAAATACAATATCAATTCTTTAGTATTCCAAATGCTCACTCTTCAAATTTTTCCAGCTGACACAATTTTTTTTAGTTTGCTGACTGAGCCAGAATCTAAATAAAGGTCATACACTGAAATGTTTCTTGTATTCCCTTTAAACCATAGGCCACTCATCCTTCCTTCCTTCTTTCCTTCCTTCATTCATTCCCCATGCAACTGTGTCTACCAGGCTTAGTGTAAGATGCTGGAGACATGAAGACAGGGCTCTCCATACAGAGCACTGGCACACTCTGAGATGTTACCATGGTTACAGCCCTCCAGAGGGTTGCTGAAGAGAAGGAAGGCAGGAACATAAGGGTAGGAAATACCCCAGTACACACTGGGATCCTAATTCCAAACCAGGACCCTCCAATATTTCTGAAAGAGACAGACAGACAAACAGACAGAAATAGAGAGACAGAGAGATCTCTCATTTCACTGATAATCCTACTCTGAAAGACACAGCCAACCTACTCAGAATAGAAGGAAGAGCCCCTGCCTGGCTGAAATTATAAGGAGGCCAAACCCCTAGTGCTGAGAGCCCTCCCCACATGATACATCTCAGGCTTCTTTTTTTTAAATTGCTATTTATAGGGAACTTCTACACAGAAGAGAAGTGATGGCTGCCCAGCATCCTGCCCCATCAATGCTGTCTTTATGTTCTGGTCATAATCTCTCCTATTTGGAGACATCAGGGCTAGATATTTGGATATAGGAGCTTGTTTGTAGAGCCATTTGTGGCCTGGAGAAGAAAGGGGGACATGTGGTTCACATGAAAGGACAAAAAAGGGAAACAGGGCACTGTAAGGGACAGGCGAAGTCACAGCTACTCCACTTACTATGCTTGGTGAACTGGAACACACAAGGCAAATCCACAATGGGAGTTTCAGAACTCCAAGTGTGGAAGAGAATATAGATCAGATTCGATCGTGTGCTATTGATAGGAATATGAATTGATGCAGCAGCATTGCAGAATAGACTGACTATCCTTTAACAGTAAATATTGATGTGTTCTGTAAATAGCAACACCATTGCTATTTAAATACTTAAGGAAAGCATTCAGCCATGGAGAGGGGTAGAAGAATGAATGGGGGAAATGAGTGGAATGCAGGCAGGAATGCACTGTATATGCCACAGATCTGAGAAAAATAAGGGAAGAGGTGGGTCAAAAGAGGGTGAATCTGATGAAGAGATGACAGGATTACACAGATCAAGATACATTGTATACATAAACTGCTTTGTTAAATGTTTTAAAAATCCAATATATAACCTAAAAATTAAGAAAAGCGAGGGAAGGAGTAGGATGAAAGTCCTGGGTGAGAATATTAATCAAGAGGCACTATATTCATAAACTTCTCTGTTGAATGGCAACTCCTTTGTACAACTACTTAAAGAAAAGAAAAATATATTTTTAAAAAAGTAATAATTAGCATTTTTTCATAAGCACAGGGGATAGGAAAAGCCACCACTTAAGTGGCCAAATTGGGAGTCTTTATTGGAGAGCCATGGACTGCGGGCGGACTCTTGTCTCAAAGACCAACAGCCGTGAATGCAACTAGCACAAAGCTTATATAGGCCAGAACCACATAAGATGTGAGGAATTTATCCTAACAATGTTATAGATAAGCAGAGAAAATCAGATGAGGACACTTAAACCTAATACAGGTGTTAAATATAAGCAAAGCAAAGCAGATGAAGACACAATCAAGGGGAAATCAAGGCCAATTATCTAAGTGAAGTAAGAATTTCCTGGAGTTAAACAACTCAGGACACTTTCAATAATCCAAAGAATGTCCTCTATTACTTGTACAGTTTTTTTAGAGTTGTGTAGAAAGCCCCCTCCAGCCAGCAAGGCACCAAGATGGCTGGAAGGGCAAGGCATATTGCTTCAAGGCATATTGCTTAGACCCAGTCTCCTTATTTCAATACAATAAAAAGTGGACCACTTACTGACAGACACCTCTCAGGCTTTGTTTGGCCTTCTCCAAGCTTGTGCCTTAGACTTCCCAGTGTTGCTGCCCTTTGCAAGCTGGGCACATGTGAGATCTGATCGGTGTCCAGGCAACAATCCTGATGTGAGAGGACAGAGGAGTATGAAGGCTTGGAAACGTTTTAGACACAAGAAAAGCCACACTCTTCACTTTTCTAAATATTGGCCATATCTGAGCTTTAATTATTTAAAACCTAGGAAGTCCTGGTCATCCTTTAGATCTCAATTTTCTCCCACTGGACCAAACACCCACAGCATCCAAAACTAGATGCACACTCTTCTTGACAAGCCAAAAGTGAGAGAGGGACAAGACACTATTGCTGTCTTATTATAAAAAGTCAGAAATGGCCAATATTCCAGAGAGGATGGTAGCCCTTTAAGTAGGCAAATTGGATGGTTAATTGTTGGAATTACTGATAATTATCTTCATTGACCAATCTCTTCTGAGACCTAGCCAACAAAACTGGTCCTTTACTGCACATGTATATGTAGACATGTGTATGTATGTACATGTCTATGCATGGATGTGACTGTGGATTCTTAGTTATAATGTGTGTATGTCTATCCTTGTATATATTACATACATATAAACCTGTGTGTATGCACAATCAATGCATGCATATACCTGGATGGACATGTATATATGTCTAACTGTGTGTGGCTTGGGTACATATACACACATGCATACATGTGGATATATACACATACATGAATGTAGTTGATATATTCATGTACATATATGTCCCTATACACACG